CGGCGCCCACCATACACCACCTCCCGGTCCTCTCCTGCCTCTGAATTACCAGAAAGTCAAGTGGGGAGTGGAGGCTGATGGGATCTGCTGCCGGCAGCAGGTGCAGGCAGGGAAATGGAGGTTTTTCTTGGAGAGTATGCTAGTTTGACCAGCTCTCCTTCCTCGCCATCCCCATCCCATCCCATCCCATCCCTGGGCTCCCCGTCAGGCCCTCACTGCAGGATGAATTCTCTGGTGATTGGAAGGACACTATCAGTTCAATTTAAGGCTAGGCTTTATATGGCAACTATAAAAAAATAAACACTAATCTCCAGAGAGCCAGGCAAGGGCTCCCTGGCATTTGGCTGTGGCGTTTGTGCTGGCACAGGGCTGTGGGGACCTGGGGGAGAGCACCCTGAGGGTGCTCAGCACTGAACCGAGGGCCTGTCAGCACCCAGAGCACCTGCACAGGGCAGCCACCCCCTGCCCACCGCTGCACCTCAGGGGGACGAGGGACGGAGTAGGCAGGATCCTTTGGTAAGGACACGGAGACTGACTGGTAATCCAGGACCCACCTCTACACGTGACCGAGGGTGCTCTGCAAGAAAGGCCACAGGGGAAAGAAATATCCTGCAAAGTAACGGGGCTGGAGTGGGTGGAAGCTTTCCCGTGGGTGGGATCCCTCCCGCCAGCCCCGCGGGAGGGGAAAGCGCTCTGCGGGACGAGACGGATCTGCACCCCCTAAACCCCAACTCAAACCAGGAAAACCAAACCTAAAAGCAGACACAGAAGAACAGCTCAGGCTACCTAGGTACTTCATCAGCCAAAAAGAGCTAAAGAGCGAAGCGCACACACACAGGACAGCGCGGAGGATGGAGAGAGGAGATGGCCGAAAGCCAAGGTCTTCCTTCCTGCTTTGCCTCCCGTCTCCAGCCAGAGGCAGAGCAGGGACCTGGCAGCTGAGCAGGGACCTGGCAGCTGGGTGGCTGGCCTCATCCCACAGGAGGGAACAGGCTGGCTCCTCTCACCCCGAGGAGGCAGCCGGCTCCGGAGCATCTTCACGGCATGGCCGAGCGCGAGGCGTAGAACTCGGGGACTGGCAGCCCGGTGTGCAGCGTCACCTGCAACGAGAGACGTGGAGCTCAGCCGTGTGCCACCGTGCCTGGTGGGACAGCTCGTGGCACATCGACCCCAGGGAGGGCAGGAGCAGCACCTAGGGAGAGGCAGGACGTGGCTGGAGGTGTGAGGAGTATCCTCCCTGCTGCAGGAGGGGCTGGGGGTGTCCCAAAAACTGTGGTGGTGGCTCCACCTCACTTTGTCCTGACCTGATGGAGCTGCTGGAGCCCCTGTGAACTGGGACTGCTGGTACCAGCACTACCAAGGCCCAGATATTCCCGGCTGGCTGTGGACAAATCTGACAGTTGGCTATCAGAAAGGTGGGACACGGCAAGAGCTGGATCTTTGTGCAGATGGGATGGACAGGAGGGGATGAGGAGTGCAAAGCCATCAGTACAGGAGACCTCAGAGCTGAGGGGGGTGGGGACAGCAGAGAGGATGTGGTTGATTGCTAGTGGGAGGAAGGACCTTCGTGGTGGGGAAGCTGAGCAGTATCAGGGTGCTGGGGCAAGGCCATGCTACTGCGTGGGGCATGTTCAAGTGCAGCCTGTAACGGTCCCTTCCAACCCAAACCTTCCTGATCCTATGAAAATGGGAGCTGGGCACTCGTCCTGGCATCATTCAGGGGTGGGGAGTGATGCAGCAGAGACTACAAATATCAGAACTATGAGGGAGTGAAGGAAATACAGGGGACTGATGTGCACTGGTCCAAGAAAAATCCTGGTCCACCTGGGATCTGGAGAGGCTCCATGTGCACGGGCTGACCAGGCAAGGGGCCAGGCCCTGGCAGTGCTCACATGCACCAGTGAGCAGCACAGGGGGAATTCAGTTCCCTCCACAAATGCTTTAATTTGGGAGGAAAGCACAGTTCCTTCTTTTATTGCAGCACCAGCATTTCCTCCTTCAGATACTCATAGAACACTTTGCCTAAAATACAATGATTTCCCTCCTAATTAGAGTTGTTTTTAATTAGCTATACACCTCTGAAGAAAGATAATGAATGGATTTGGTTTATTAGCAGCCTTTTATCAGCATCCCATGGGACTTTTCTGTTGTCAGGGGATTTAAGCTCTGCCTTGCCCACAGGACTGTCACAAAGCTGAGGGGCTCCAGAAATGTGCTTGTCTCTTATGGCTGTGTAAGGGATTGAGGCAGGAATTAAACCCCTCACACAGCAGGAGGATTTTACCACACCCAATTAATACAGTACCTCCAAACCCAGCACAGACAGGATGGGCTTCATTAATGTTTCCTAATAAAACATCTGCCAGCCCTTCTCCAAGCTGGGCAGACTCCCCTGCCTGCAAGGCCTTTCAGTGGGACACTGTGGCAGGGATGCTCCAATGGTTTGAGATGGCCCCAATCCACCTCTGCCTCAGTGCTGCTGGAACAGTCACTGCCTTGGTGACAGGGCAGTGCTGAAAACAGAGCACGTCCTAACCCATGGATCCCTGACTTACAGAGGCCACTTGGTGTCTCTGAGCTTGCACAGAGGTGATCGCAGAATCCCAGAATTGCTGGAGTTGGAAGGGAACTGAAAGCTCATCTCACTCCACCCCTTGCCATGGGCAGGGACACCTTCCACCAGCCCAGGTTGCTCCAAGCCCCATCCAACCTGGCCTGGAACACTCCCAGGGATGAAGCAGCCACAGCTTCTCTGGGCAACCTGTGCCAGTGCCTCAGCACCCTCACAGGGAGGAATTCCTTCCCAATATCCCATCTAGCCCTGCCCTCTGGCAGTGGGAAGCCATTCCCCCTTCTCCTGCCACTCCATGCCCTTGTCCAAAGTCCCTCTCCAGTTTTGATATCCACTGCAGAAGAGCACACCAAAATGCTCAACACCTTGAGATCATCCATTACATGCCCTATGTCCTAGGATGTGTCTGGGCACTTGTGCAGGGTGGGAGGTACAGACAGTGGTAGGGTGTGTGTGCCAAAGCCATGTTGGTAAATGTGGGAGATTCCCAGGAGGAGATGACAGCAGGGATGTGATCAGTGAGTATTAAAATGAAAGATGGAAATACCGGATCGGCCCAGGGAGCCACAGCTTGGTGATGGTCAGGAGAGCTGAGAGCTTGGGAGAGAGGGAGAGAACAGGGGTTGGAAATGCATCAGAGGAAAACAGGCTTTAAAAGGTGCCCCTTCTCCTTGGTGATGCTTCTGTTGATGGGTCCTGGGAGAGCCGTACAAGCTGGTGAGGCTCCCAAAACAGAGCTGTCAAACCCCATTGACCAGGGAGGGCTGAAGAGCCCCAACGCTCCCGCAGCTGTGATGGAGAAACCTGGAGTGAGGAGTCTGAGGCAGCAGCTGTGGCTGCAGAAAGGCCTGTCCTGATTTTGGAGACTCAAAGGTAGTTTAGGGTGCAAGTTTAGCTCTTTCCAAGCCATCCCTGTTGCACAGAGCCCTCCTACTCCACAAAGTCCCTGTGCTGCTGAGCCTCAACTCCCACTGCAGTGATAGCAGCATGAGGGTGAGTGTGACAGCAAGTTCACCCCTGGGGATGCCGCAGAGAGCACATCAAAGCCCATACCTGCACGTTCCTGTTGAGGCTAACAGCAGGGAAGAAGAGGCCCTCTAGGTTCTCAAAGGCAACAGGCCCTTGCTGGTCCTCATTGATGGAGAATGTCAAAGTCCTCCTGGTCAAATCCAGCAGCACTCCCACCGTGGCGCCTTTCGTTATCCCACCCTCGGTTCTGTGGGGGTGAGAAGATCAGAGCATCTCTGTGGCTTAATGTCCCCTTGCTTCTCACTCAAGCTTCAGGCCCTGGACCTCAAGGGCTGATGATGCTGAACATCACAGCTCAACCAAGAGCCAGGTCATGACCTGCTCCCATCCCAGCCATGCTCAAGGGTCCATGGGGCTGCTCTCTGCTTGCTGTGATGTCCCTGAGGGCAAAGCTACACTGAGAGCAGCCACAGCCACACAACCATGGGACTGGCTCATGGAACTGGGGAGCAAAGCTTAATGCCACATGGCAAAAGCTGCTGATTCATCAGGGAAAGGCCCATGATGCTGCAGGAGGGGATCATGCCCCAGGCTCTCCCCAGTCCCACTGTTCCATGAGCTGTGGCACAGGGATCATACTCATAGTATCATAGTAAGTTAAGGGGTTAGAATGGAGCTTAGATATCATCCAGCCCCAACCCCTGCCCTTGGCAGGGACACCTCCCACCAGAGCAGGTTCCTCAAGGCTGTAGCCAACCTGGCTTTGCCACAGCCTCCCTGGGCAACCTGTGCCAGTGTCTCACCACCCTCACAGGGAAAAACTTCTGCCGAAGCTCTAATCTAAATTTCCCTCTTTCAATTTATCCCCATTACCCTTTGTCCTATCACTCCAGACCCAGCTGTTGTTTTCTTGTTGCAGAGTTGCAGAGCTTTGGGAGTTACAGGGAAGGAAATGTTACATGGAAGAGTCAGTGTGGGAAGAGTGGCAGTAGGCAGGGAAGGAATACTGGAGCAAGGCAGCACCAGGCAAGCAGGGACTGTCCTCTTAGAATCATAGACTCATCAAGGTTGGAGGAGACGTCTAAGATCATCAAGTCCAACCATTAACCTGTCCCCTAATCCCTAAACCATATCCTCCAGCGCCAGATCCAGACACCTCTGAAACACCTCCAGGGGTGGTGACTCCACCACATCCCTGGGCAGCATATTCCAATGCCTCTTGCTCAGGGCAAGGGCACATCCTCTAATAGAGGTGACTGGGACCAATGTCACCCTTCCTGTGGGCACCTGTAGGTGCCACTGGCAAAGCCACAGGGCTGAGAGAGATTAGGCTGTGGTCTCCAGGAGGAAGACTCTGTTCCAAATCACCCTTTGTCCTTCCAGACCCAACTGTTGTTTTCTTGTTGCAGAGTTGCAGAGCTTTGGGAGTTACAGGGAAGGAAATGTTACATGGAAGAGTCAGTGTGGGAAGAGTGGCAGTAGGCAGGGAAGGAATACTGGAGCAAGGCAGCACCAGGCAAGCAGGGACTGTCCTCTTAGAATCATAGACTCATCAAGGTTCCAGACCCAACTGTTGTTTTCTTGTTGCAGAGTTGCAGAGCTTTGGGAGTTACAGGGAAGGAAATGTTACATGGAAGAGTCAGTGTGGGAAGAGTGGCAGTAGGCAGGGAAGGAATACTGGAGCAAGGCAGCACCAGGCAAGCAGGGACTGTCCTCTTAGAATCATAGACTCATCAAGGTTGGAGGAGACGTCTAAGATCATCAAGTCCAACCATTAACCTGTCCCCTAATCCCTAAACCATATCCTCCAGCGCCAGATCCAGACACCTCTGAAACACCTCCAGGGGTGGTGACTCCACCTATTCCAATGCCTCTTGCTCAGGGCAAGGGCACATCCTCTAATAGAGGTGACTGGGACCAATGTCACCCTTCCTGTGGGCACCTGTAGGTGCCACTGGCAAAGCCACAGGGCTGAGAGAGATTAGGCTGTGGTCTCCAGGAGGAAGACTCTGTTCCAAATCACCTACCTGTTGGTGTGTGAGTTGTTGTGCATGAACCAGCTCCTGTTATTGTCCACATACATGGCCCAGGCCTTGTCATCCTTGCCCAGCATGGCATCCTTCAGGACATCGATGCGTGCCACACCGAAGGCTGGGTCGGGGTGGTTGTCATACCGATCAATCGACAGCTCCCAGTAATGGAGCCCTTTGGAAAAGCCAGTTTTCCCCAGCACAACCCTGTCATCATAGCTGTTGCAGGTGACAGTCAGGTTGTCATTGGAAAAGATGATGTCAGCATGGGCAGAGGAAGGATCGAAAGAGAACCAAGCAACTGCAACACACAAAGGACATGAGGTCAGCGCGGTGGGAGAACAGTGCCGGCGCCGCGCGGAGCCAACATGGACAGCGCATGCTGCATGCAGGGAGCATGTGGGCAGGGAGCTGCACAGCGGAGGGGACTGCTGGCTCTGGGGAGAACCTTCCATCCTGGAGGGATGCACTGAGCTCCTGTGGATGCAGCTGCCAGCATGGCAGGGGTTTTATGGCTAGGATGTGGAGGAGTTTTGCTCTTGCTGCTCCATGGTGCCTGTCTGTCTCTGTCTCTGTCCCCTCCCAATGTCTTGGCACATGAGCCTGTAGGATCCTCATGATCTCCTAAAATTTGGCCCTAGCAGGGCCATCCTGTCTATCTAGGCTATCCCTGTCAGGTCTCCAGGTCTAACATAGAATTATAGGAGCATGGAATGGTTTGGGTTGGAAGAGACCTTCAAGACCATCTCATTCCACCCCCTGCCATGGGCAGGGACACATTCCACCAGCCCAGGTTGCTCCAAGCCCCATCCAACCTGGCCTGGAACACTCCCAGGGATGAAGCAGCCACAGCTGCTCTGGGCAACCTGAGCCAGTGACTCAGCACCCTCATAGCCAAGAAGTTCTCCCTAATATCTAATCTAAATTAACCACTGCAAAATCTACTTCTCCAATCATCTAAGCCCTGTCCAACCTGGCCCTGAACATAACTTATTCTTACAACTAAGGGCTACTCATGCAGCAGTTTCAGGGTCAGGTCAGTGTGGGAAGGAGACTGAGCATCAGCAGATAAACTCTGTGTATTTAAGGGCTGTTTGGGAAACCAAAAGCACACACAAAGGTTTACACTGACAGAAATACTACATCATGCCAAGAAACCTCCCTGCCAAGCAACAAGCCACACATAAGACAAGAACTAGCTCATGGGAAGGCTGGAAAACACCCCCAAACCTCCACAGCTGCTGGTTTAAATGCAGAAGACTCAGTTCCTGCAAATCTGACAGATACAGAGGGACAAGACAGAGGGATGGGGATTCACAAGCCACCAGCCCAGTTCCCCAGGTGCTTCTCTCCTGTTTTCTCCACTGAAACGTGAACTGACACACCCACAGAACACTCTGACGGCTGCAGGAGGCAACACAGCTTGAAAAATAAAAGACTCTGGTGAGATTGATTCAGTGGTTTATTGGTTGTGTCACGACACAGCGGACATGCACGCGGCCGCCCCGCGGTCACAACCCGCCTCGGGTGAGCCCGTACCTGCCACCATTTTTTTAATGTCAACTGTGGTCATTCCCAAGGAAAGGCATGAGGAGAGAAAACAGCAAATAAAGTTGGGTAAGGAAAGGAAGGAGAAACAATTCCTGCTTGTCTGAGCCTCCAGCCAGAGTATGGGCCTTGCAGAGCTCTGTATTGAGGATGAGCTGGGGATGTGAGTGGTGCAGGCTGGCTGGCACAGGAAGGAGGGAATCCCACAGGGCTGAGGCTCCTTCTCCCAGGGGAATGATCAGGATTAGCCCTGTAGGAAGTCCGAAGGGAACAGGCAAGCAGCAACCACCTTGCTTTAATTAGTTGCAGAGGGGCTAATTGCCTCCGTGTCATTTGGCCCATGTTCAAGTGGCCTTAATGAAGGGGAATACGTATTGCTTTGAGAATCATGGAATCACAGAATGGATAGAAGGACTTTAATGACCATCCAGTTCCACCCCTTGCCATGGGCAGGGACACCTTCCACCAGCCCAGGCTGCTCCAAGCCCCATCCAACCTGGCCTGGAACACTCCCAGGGATGGAGCAGCCACAGGTGCTCTGGGCAACCTGTGCCAGTGCCTCAGCACCCTCACAGGGAAGGATTTCTTCCTAATGTCCCATCTATCCCTGCCCTCTGGTAATTTAAAAGAGCAGGAGGATCAGCTCTTAATTACAGGGCTACTTCCAGAGCACTGACTTTAGGCTTCTCTTTAAAACCATACAGGGAACAACTTTAAATGCCTTTACGTCATACTGCAATCACCATTCCTCTTCCAAATGTGCCTCCTGCCCAGGGCAGTGGTGGAGTCACCATCCCTGGAGGGATTTAAAAGCCATGTGGCACTTGGAGACATGGTTAGTGGTGGCCTTGGCAGTGCTGGGGGAACAGTTGGACTCTATGATCTTAGAAGGCTTTTCCAACTGGAACAATCCTGTGATTCTATGACATCTGAGTGCTCTGCAAGCAGGGTATGAGCTACAAGTGCTGCACAGAAGCACCTCCATAGAAGTGGGACAAAGAAAAGTTAAAAGATTCAAATGCAAAAAAAATGAAGCAACGGGTAGCAGGTGCCAGCTAATTGGAATAAAGATACTTGCCTAATTGAGAGTAAGGTGTTCCTTGTGTCTCAAAATTGCATCCTACAAAGAGATACTACATTTTACACATCACAGCTAAGGAACAACAACCTGACAAACACTCCTGAGCATTCACCCAGTCACTAAGCATCCAGCAGCCACAGGAGACCTGATTCATTAAAAGCCAGAGGGCACAGAGAGGGGTCACAAACACGACCTGTGAGTTTCAGTGTGAACTGTGTCAAGGCTGATTGCTCAGGATGCCAAATCATTGGGCTTTTCCCCAGAAAAGAGGCAGGAAATGTTAGCTTTGGTGGAGTATCTTGACTGCTTGGTAAATATTATCCAGATTGACTGAAAAAAACACTCACTGGAGGACAAGCACTGAGGAAAAAGCAGCCACCGGTGTGTCCAGTGAATAGGGACCATCAAGCTTGTCCAGGCTGCCTCCCTGATGGGTGTGAGGCCTGGGCAGGAGTGGAGCAGGAAAGGAGGTCCTTGGGGCAGAGGCCTGGCCTCAGACTCCTGCTAGCACCCAGAGGGCACCAGGCTGTAGTTTCAACTGCATCTCAATAGGCAGGATGTGTTGGGGTGTTCTTCATCCTCCTGTGCCAGACCACTGGCTGCAAACACCTCCAGGGAGCAGGGCTGCAGCCAGGCAGTGATCCAGGGGAGTCTGTCCTGATCTAAGAGCTTGTCTTGATCTACGAGTTTGTTCTCACCAGGCAGTTGTCCTGATCTAGGAGCTTGTCCTCCTCAGGAGGAGAGAACAACATGAAGCCTCCATGTTGCCGCTGCATGGAAGAGCACTCATGAAGGGTGCTGGATTTTAAGGACAGCCTTGCTGACCTCTGTGACTGTTTTTGCCCCTCCTGACTAACATGTTGGTGGGAAAGCACTTGGCTATGATGTGGGAGAGCACCTGGCTGTGGTTGTGCTCCATGCCATACTGCTGGCAAGTGCCAAGTGGCACCTCCTGAGGCTGTTTAATGAATCATGCCCCGTGCCCTGCTCAAATAGTACTTCTCAAGATCTCTGCACATCACTGTGGTAGCATGAGGGACACACAGACCCCAGGGAGGGGTTCAGGACCCCATTTTACCCTGCCCTCCCACCCCAGAGCGTGGCTGCAGAGGTCCAGACTGCACACACACACGTCTTGCTCACGGCCAGCGCGGAGGAGCTCAGAACACCGGACACAGAGTGAGGAACGTCCGTAACAAAACAGCCTTGAAGCCATCAGCTCACAGCAGCAGGATGAGAAATAAAACAGAAAAAGCACAAAGAAAAAAAGGAAGTTTGCAGAGCCCCCCCCAGTTATTGTGGCAAGGGTCATGCTGCAGCATTCCTCATGCCGTGTTATGGGATGGCAGTAGAACAATCGGGGGCCCCCATTCTTCCTGGGCTTTCCTGGAAGCCAGGAATTAAGCCATTGGAGTGGTGTAAATCCAGAGTGCTGGAAGAATCAGGGCCCAGGATCTTTAGCAAAGGAAGATGTGCAAAGATTGGTTAGAAAACAGCTCTGAGAGATGCCTGTGGCTCTTCACTGGCTGCCCAACATCATCCCTCATTCTGTCTGACCTGCCTAGGTCCCACCACAGCCTGTGATTTCAGGGACAAGGAGGCAAACCAAGTGCTCTTGTGGGGGCTGCCAGAGAGGGAGACATCACAGGAGTGATGTCCTCTGCTCTGCAGAAAACAAGGCTACAGTATGATCATATCTGGTTCTGGCAAAGCCAAGCCCAGTGCTCAAAGCCGAGCAGATGACAGATCACGTCTTCAAGGTCCTAAGCCAGGCTGTGCACTGGCCTGAGCTAGGATCATGGAATCCCACATGGTTTGTATTGGAAGGGACGTTAAAATCATGTCTTTCCACCCCTGCCATGGGCAGGGACACCTTCCACTAGCCCAGGTTGCTCCAAGCCCCATCCAACCTGACCTGGATCACTTCCAGGGATGGAGAAGCCACAACCTCTCTGGGCAACAAGCTAAACCTTGATTGCATCCAGACTGGCTTCTTTCTTAAGAGAGGTCTAGATTTAACCAACCAAACTATTTCTGCAGACCAAGTGTCACAGCAGAAGCTGCATCTACTGGCCATATAGGGAAACTAAGCCATGGAGATGTCCCCCAGGTTTCTCCCAGGGAAGGTCTGTTCTGACTGTCCCAACACAAGACCAACATAAACTAGAGATGAAGGATCTTCTAGTGGAAAGTGTCCCTGTACATGGCATGAGGTTGGAACTGGATGATCTTTAAAGTCCTTTCCAACCCAACATATTCTGAGATTCTAGGATCTGCTGTGCTAAAGGGTTCAGCCATTCCAGCCCTAACAAGAACAGCACCTACACGAGGAGTTACAGTGCTGCTCCATCTCCCACACCCCACACTGCTCGCACTGCAACGGACAGATGCAAACACCACGAGAACTAGCCCACCAAAACCCCCTAGTGCCAAACAGAAAGAATTCCCCCTGCCATCTGCATGTCATGGGAAAAACAAACACAACAAAGGAACAAAACAAACAAATAGTTTGGAGATGCCCAGAAGCACAGACCAAGAGGAAATGCCAGAGGTGCTCAGCTCACCGGCTGAATTGAGGGACTGTAAAGAAGAATGCAAGCTCAGCTGGTGGGCCGAAGATCTTAGCTCAAAGTAGGATCTCCCCGAGAAGCTGGGCTGGAGGTTAAGGGTGGAGGAGAAAGGACTCATTCTACGCAGCTGTGATCTTTCCAAAGGCACTGGAAAAGGGAGGGTCTGTTCTTCTGACTGCGTGTCTAAACGTAAGATCAATGCAAACTAGACATCAGAAATGGGATCTGCTGGATGGGATCACTCCGTGGCCTGAGCCCAGAGCTTGGAAAGAGCATGGATGCTCCAGCATGCACAGATCCTGCTCTGGTGCATGGAGCAAAACATCTGGTGCTGTGCAACCCAGCAAGACCCTTCAGGGCAGCCTTGCCTGACAGCAGCAAGGAAAACATGTTCATCTTCCAAAATATTCCCATGTCAGCATGATAAATTGCACACTTTTTCTATAAAGGGGGTCCTGCTTCTCTTCACACACCTAAAGATGCCCAGGTTACCATGCACACTTCCCATCGTGCTTCAGTCCATCTCACACCTTCTTGTGCACAATAATTAGTGGTGGAAAACCCAGTTGGTCACACTGGAAGGCAATTTGCAGGGCTCTACTAAGCTCTATCACCCTAAGTACCACCAAGCACCCACCTTACTCAAAGGTTGTTCGGGATGTTGTGTTCTTGGTATCCCTTTGTACCTGTCAAAACACATCTGAGCCTTACAGTAAGAATTTAACTTATGAGATTCACAGCAAAATGTCAGAGTAGAGGGAACCTCATTTCCCCACTGCCACAGTCACCTCCTGCAACGTCTGCCCTAGCCTTGTCCAGGGATATGTTAACATGAAAAGGTAAAATCCACCATCCACACATTCAAATTCCCAGCACACTTCATCCCCAGCCTTCCCATCTCAGCTGTGAACATGGATTGAACTGGAAATCATGGTAAAACCAATCAAAGGAAACATTTCTTTTCACAGTGGGTTGTGACTTCTGCAACTGCTGCTGCGGCCGAGGCTGTGGAAGCAAAGGTGTCAGTGGGGTCAGACATGCATTACATCAGTTATTGCACAACAGGTCAATGAACAGAGCTCAGGGTTAGGGAGGGACCAGTAACACCCACCAAGAGTGAGAGAAACTACTACCATGAGTAGCCACCTCATGACTTCCCCTAACTAGCACCTATGTCCCTATAGCTCCTTGCAGGTTGTTTCTCCTTGGCTTGTTCACCCCTTTCCAAAAGCTTCTGGCTAAAAAGCTGCTGAGGGTCACTCCATGAATGGTCACGAATTTGAAGTTGGGCTCCAGGAGGTGGACTTGAAAGAAGAGAAAAGATTCTGGTGTCGACTAGGCTGGGGAAGGGAGGTTGAAGCTCTGGGGAGCAGGCAGGGACAATCCCCTCCAGCACTGCTGAGCTGCTCTTCTCCATCTCCACCTGGGGTGAGTTGGGCCTTCATCCTGCCATCCAGCTTGCTGGCTAGCCCATGGAAAGAAACAACACTGGAGGCAGTCAGAAACATCTCAGAAATCATAGCTTCATAGTATGTTAAGGGGTTGGAATGGATCTTAGAGATCATCAAGTCTCAACCCCTGCCCTGGGCAGGGACACCTCCCACCAGAAAGCCAAACACATGGGAAACCCTCTGGGGCACAGCCCATCTCCCAGCCAGGAGCCACCCTGTCCTGCTGGTGGCACCAAGAACCAACTTTGAAGAGTGGACTGCAATTTCTTCAGCTGGAAAACACAGTTTTCTTTGGGATGAGTAGCAGATGCCTCACCACGGGCTGGGAAGATGCTCTTGCTGTAGGCTTGCATGTGTGCTGCCTGACTCCCCTTGGAGCTGGGCTTCAAGCCCTTGGAGTTTGGCTGAGCAGGAGCACAGAGGCAT